CCCAAACCAAAAAAAAAATTAATTAAAAACGTAGATCAAATACATTTTTTTTCAACCTTAAAATATTAACCCTCCGTCGAGGTAAAAAAAAAGAACCCAAAGAAAAGGGAAACCCTCTCCTCATAAGTAATAACCCTGGACCAAAATGTTTTAAAAAAGAAAGAGAAAAGGAAAAAAAACTTCTCCTTATAAATAACAACCTGTAGCGAAAAAGAAAGAAAGAGAGAAAGAAAGAAAGAAAGAATGAAAGAAAGAGAGAGAGAGAGAGAGAGAGAGAGCTGGGAAGAGGGGGGGGGGGGGGGGGAATAGAAAAAAAGATACATCCTTGTCCTAAAATAATGGAAAGAATCTTGGAGCTGTGAGGTCCCAGAAGGATATCGAGTTTCGTGCAGCGCGCTTTCCGCGGGCTATGTTGCCAGCTGTTCTTGCATGTACTCGCCTCTTGGGAGTCGACGGAGGCACGGGGGTATCGATACCGAGACAATTTTGTTATCCTCACTTTTTTTAAGAATCGGTTTTCGTTTTCGTAACAGTTTTACGGCGCTTACAACACAATAAGGTGTTATAAGTGCCGAAGATTAGCGGTGTGTTAAAAGGTGTGTCGTATCCAGTGGCGAATCTGCGACAGACATCGGCGATCATGGTTCTCCATTCATTCCTTTGCTCGGATGCTCTTAAAAATAGCTACGTTTCGCAGAAAAACAATCACAAAAAAAGAAGGAGGAGAGATAAGGATAATAGATGTTTGACAGGAAAGAAGGAGCAAAATACACCTGTGCACCTGCCAACCACCCACTATAAGAATCTGTACTTCTGATTACTTCCTGAAATAAATCTAGAAATCTAAAACACGCACACACACGCGCGCACGAGCACACACACATACGCACACACACACATACACACATACACACACATACACACATACACACACACACACACACACACATACATACATACATACATAAACACACATTCCCTACCAAACGTTAAATGCTTTCGAATTGAAGGCATTTTATCTACGCGTCTGTGTGTGTGTGTGTGTGTGTGTGTGTGTGTGT